AAAGATCAACGTCCCCCAGGTGATGCCCACCCACTGTGATGGTGAGCACCCCCCTGATCCAAGGGGGGGGGGGAGAGATGGGAGAAAGGAGCCAGAGGAAGGGTCCTTTAAAGGATGGGAGGTTTGCTCTCTCGGGAGCTCTTTCTCACCTAGTCCACTAGACACTGGACCCCCTCTCCTTCACTGCTTTGTTGGTCTATTAATCCTTTCACTCTCATTCACCCATTCGTGCCCATCCATTCACTCCACCAGTCATTCATTCACTTGTATCTGATAGGCAGAGACCTGCCTGTACACCATGCATCATGGCATATCGCATCCCCCCATGGTTATTGCTTGCTTAATTCTCAGTCAGCCCCCCACATAGCTGTTCCCCAGACTTCAGCACAGAGCCTGGCATGGAGAAGATGTTAAGAATACCCCCATCAGGCTGGCCGAGTGGCTCAGTTGGTTAAGAGCTCGCTCAAGAGTGCGAGCTCTGAGCAACAGCGGTTCGATTCCCAGCCCAAGCTGAGCTGCCAACAGGTGACAGGATGGCTCAGCTAAAAAAAAAAGAATACCCCCATCACACACACCATGACATCCTAAGTCCTCACCATGGCTGTCAAGGTGAGATGTGAGATCAAAGAATTCTCTGGATTCGTTGCCTTCCTTCTCCCCTCACTATCTGAGTCCAAAACCCCAGGTTGAAATGCCAACTCAGCTGTTTAATAGCTGTGTGACTTTGGACAAGTCCTTCAACCTTTCTGAGCCACTGTCTCCTCCTGGGCAAAGTGGGGATAATAAAGTACTTTCTTTAAAGTCATGAGGACTAAGGAGAGCACCAAATGAAGAGCTCTTAGCATGTGCCTGGCATGGAGTCAGCACTTACCGACTATTACCACATGTCTCATTCCTCCGCTTCTCTCAATTCCATCACCCCCACTAAATACATCTTAGGACTTCTGGAGGACCAGTTGTGGAGCCCCAGCCCTTTGGTTTGCTGATGAGAATGCAGAGGCCCCAGGGGAGGAGGGACCTGCCTCAAGGTCACACAGCCAGCCTATGACCCAGGCAGGACTTGAGTCCAGGACTCCGGCCGGCCAAGGCCCCAGCTCCTTTTGCTGGTCGCACCTTCTAAGCCCAACCCAAAGTGACAGGAAGAAGAGCCTCTATTTACATGCGTGGCAGCTTTCTTCTCGGCGCTCAGGAATGAGATAAGTCCTGAGGTCTGTTTCGTGCCCCGTGTGTAATCTTCCTTATGATGCTTTTCATGTTTCTGGAGCAGTGTCTGCACGGCTTTGAAGGCTGGCAGGAGCCTGGCCTCGCCGTACACGGGCTGAATTACATTTACAAGCGGCCTTTAATGCCCTGTGGTCTCGGCTTCCTTAATGGGGATTTTCCTCCTTCTTTTTCTCTCTCTCCCTTTTAATATGGTCACTGGCTTGGCTTTCGGAGTGTGGTTTGGATTCCTCACAGAGACGCCAAGGCTGTAGAATCCCTTCCAGATCTTCCCTCCGTCTCCCTCTCCTACCCCTGCTGCCTGTGCCAAAGCCCCAAGAAAAGAAAACGTTGCTCCTGTCAGGATTTCAGCAGGAAAGAGAGAAGCCCTGTTGGGATTCCAAAAAATCAACCGGGAAATGGCTTGTACAGAAACTCTCCCCTGACTTTGCACCAGAACCACAGACCCACGAGCCTTGTGGAGGGGATGGAAGGGGTCCAGCGCAGAGGCATGGCCGCCTCACTTGCAGAGGGGGGCTCAAGGGGCAAGGTGGAGGTCCTGTGCCAGCTGGGGTGAAAAGCCCTCCCACCTATGTCTCCACCTCACCCACCCCCATCCCTTTCTTCTCCGAACCTTCTGCACCGTCTAGAGGCCTTCATTGTTCTTTAACATTTGGGGGTTTTTTGCTAGTTCCAGCTCTGCAAATGGATCAGGTCCTACCTGATCTATTCATCTCTATCTGTACCTGTATATCTCGACATACCAAACTCAGTCAGAGGTTTGGTCAACCTTGAGATGGGGCCTGGGAGGGGGACCTAGTTTGTCTCCCCATCTCCCTTCTTTTTGTCCTCCCACAGGATGAAAAAGGGCAGGAGTGCAATTTTTGGAGAATGGATAAGTCGCATTTTATCTCCTTTCAAAAGGGACATGTGCAGAGCCAGCTGTGTGGGCCCTGGTCCCTGCTGTGGTCTCTTCTTTGGTTTCCTCTGCTGCTTTGATGAGTCCCTTCAGGTTCCTGCGAGATACCTACCGCTCGACCGCTGGTGCCATTGGGCCTGGGGGAGCTCCAGCTCCTGATGGGTAACTGGCTCAGGTCAAAGGCTCAGAAACCCAGCACCAGGGCTGCCTGTCATTTTGTCAGTCCTGAGAGCAGGTATCCTCACACCATGCATTTGTGTTTACCCGCCGTCCCCATGGCTGCACACATATGCTACTGCAACATGCAGGCCATAAAGCGACAGGCAACCAAAAAAGGGCAGGAGTCAAAGAGGCCAGGAATACCAAATCTGTGACATCTTCCCCCAAGGAAAAGCGGCCGTCTCCAGTGTCTTGATAAATCATGTTTTATCTCCTTTCAAAAGGAGCACGTGGTGGAGCCGATTCATCTGGATGACATTGTCCGGTCTGCACTGTGTCATCCCTCTGACAGGGAGGTGGCCCCTCTGCTGGGCCGCAGAGAGAACGGGAGGAAGGAGAGCTTGAGGGAGAGTCTGGGAGAGGAAAGTCAGTGGACTGGCAGGTACCTGGTGGGCGTCCGCTGTGTGCAAAGCCTTGCGCTAAGTGGAGCGTACGGAGCCAAGAGGAGGCAGGAGCTGCAGATCGTGGCCTCCCGTTCACACCATGTGTGGAGAGATGAGAGACACGAACGAGGAGCAAGTCACACATGACATAAGTTAGGCGTTCCACTGGAGCAGGCTGGTGACCGGTACCTGCGGTGACAGGGAAGTCAGGGATGGCTGTAGCAGCCGCTGTCAGTGCCCCCCAGGTCCCCTTACCATTCACCTCTACCTGCCACAGGGAACAACTGGGGGCTTTGTTCTAGCCACAGCGGGGCACACTCGGCCAGAGCTGCCAGAGAGTTAATGCTCTCAGAAGCTCAACGACAAGCAGGTTGGTGGGTAAATACCCATGAGCCTCCTCGTCCTTGGTTGGAATACCTCTGTGGTGTGGTCTGCATTATCGCCCAGAGTCCCCCAGCAGAACTGTACTCTGGAGGCCCACAGTGATTAACTGGCTCTATACTACTTCTTCCCTTCCCTGCCTGCCTTCCGTATTCCCCTACCGGCGCATCCCAGAAACACCTCCCAAATAAACGACTTGCACTGGACTCCTTGTCTCTGGGTCTGCTTCTGGGGAAATAACCTAAACCAAGGCAATGCCGTTCTTAGTACTTCATTTGGAACTTGACCGAGGAAGCTTAAGTGCATTAACATGCAGTCTACATATATGTTCATATGCAATGGCAGTAATCTCAATTAGAACTCCTTTAATGCAAGTGATGAAAAATCCATCCGCAACCAAAGTTAAAAAATTAATTTTATTGTTTTATACAAGTAAAGTACCAGGTAGACCCTGAGTTCAGGAATAGCTATATCCAGGTGCTCAAACGATGTCGAAGGAACTTGCCCTTCACCATCTCTTGGCTCTGCTTTTCAATCATTCAAGAAATATATATTGAACACCTACCTCGTGCCAGGCACAAATCCTTTCTCTCCACTGGTTTCCTTGTCAAGCAGGAATAAAGATGGCCACTAGAAGCTCCACACTTTCATCCTGCCAGTTGCTATGGGAGAAAGAGGGCACCAGCAGAGAAGTCTCAGAGCTGATCCTCATTGGCCCAGATCGGGTTCCTTGCCCATCTCTGTGCCAGTTACTGGGGCTCTGGTGTTCTAGGTGAGGTCCCAGGCCTACCCTTGTTGCCAGGGGTGTGGTTCACCCCATCTGAACCACAAGAACTAGGAATAGAACAGGGGGGCTCTCCAGAGGGAAGCCAGGTGGACTTGGACAACTGATGCCTGTTGTAGCTATGAGGTGAGCAGTTTGCAGTGTACTGGGCTCTGTGGACCTTAAGATGAGTCAGGCCCCTGGTAGAAGGAGACTCACAAATAGCTGGAACGCACAGCAGAATGTGGCAGGGGCCTTAGGAGTGAACAAAGCATGTGGATATTCTGGCAAGATGGAGATTACTCCCAGCTTGACCAATCAAGGAAGGCCTCTGAAAAGGGCTTTGGCCCTAGACGTTGACGGCCACTGGGCACAGAAATGTCAGCTGTGTTAGGCTTTGAATGTCAGACCAAAGAGTTCAGATTCTAAATTTAACCAACTGTAAAAGGACTATGCATTGATTGTTTTGTTATAATTGAATTCGCCTAGCTCAGAGGAGACTGCTGAGAAGGTTTGAGGGGCTAGTATTTCCCATAAGCCTTGCCCATACCTGTAGAAGGGTATACCAGCCAAGCAGTGCAGTGGCCCAGACGGCTGGAGGCTGTAAGTACAGAGAAGATGGGGAACAGTCAGGCTGGAACAGCCAGGCTCCCTGGGCATTGGCCTGTGCCTGCCCTGGAAATAGCCACCCACCTAAACTAAGAATAGGAATTCCTGCCTTGTTGGCAGGAACAAATGCCGATTTCTCAAGGAGGGATGGGCCTGAAAACAAAACACAGGGTGTGGGTTGGGCCCACATCCTTTGTATTTGTTTGTGAGGCCACTTGGGAGCCATGCCCACGTATGGGCATTGATCTTGCCATTAGACCCAGACAAGGTGACCTGGACAAGATGGCAGCCTTCGGGGCTCCTAATCCACCAGAGAGGTCCTGGGCCCTCAGCCTTAGGCACCTCCTGCCCCCTGAAAGAGGTGACTGTTCCTCTCTTGTTTCCTTGACAATGGGCAGAGGTGGTGGCACTTGGTGACCAGCTAAGATGCTGAGAAGCCAAGGGAGGGGACCGAGAGGATTGGGATCCCAGATCCCTATGGCACCTTTACCTAGAATCACCCAGCTCACGAGCATCTCTCTTCCAGGAAAAATCCTCTTCCGGAGAAGCCACATCCGGGATGTAGCTGTGAAGAGGCTGAAGCCCATCGATGAGTACTGCCGGGTAAGGCTGTCTGGGGTTGTGGGAGGGGCCACTCCACCTACTGGAGTCTGTCCATCTGTGAAGGACGGCTGTCTATACGAAACCCTCTGCTGTGGTTTAGCAGATGCATCCTGAGGCCTGCTGTTGCCTGGCCAGAGGGCATGGGGATGGGTGTCCCTCGGAGAGAGGCCATCCCCTGACTAGGCCACCCTCTAGGGCATGAGAGCCTCGGGCTCACAGCTGAGCCTCTACTCCTTTCAGGACATGTCCATATTTATAAAACGCTGTTTCAAATTACTTCCACTGGCTTGGGAGCTCAGTTAAGGGGCTTCCTACTGAAGGGATTCCATAGGTGGCATTTTTCTGGACACAGAAGAACTGTTGGTTTGAATTCTGTTTGGGATGTTGTTGGTATTGGTTCTGAATTCAAGAGCACTCAAAATGCATATTTGTTTACAGAAGTCTTGATAGTTACAGGTGTTCATGTAAACATCTTTATAAATACAAGTGCTCACACACATACACGCACAAAGCACGTGTACCCACATGCATTAAAACAGCCAAAGCCGAAGAACAGATGGGACCATGACAGCAATGTCTTGAAACAGGGCCCGTTTGTCTTTCTACTTCAGTTATAGCCTAAGACCCCTGCAGTGAGAATGCGAGGCCTTGGCACATGGCCTCTGGGTGGTTTGAACCCCTCACTAGCTTCATGAACTTGGGCAAGTTACTTAACTTCCTGGAGCCTCTGTTTCCACATTTGCACCTTAGGGAGGAGACCAGTACCTCCGCAGAAGGTAGTCGTGAGGATGAAATGAACTGACAGATATAAGGCAACAGCATGTAGTGTCTGGTGCAGAGGAAGCATTCAGTAGATGCCACCTTTTTGTTATTATTATTACAAGTCGGAAATAATTTAATGTTACCACTGGGCACCTCTGGCTTTAATGGAGATGGAATTTCTTAGTTAAATGAAACCAACTTTGGAGTCTAACTCAGGAATCTTGAGAATTGGCAAGTGGGATAATGTTTTGTTGCAAGCGCTGGTATTAGAGTAGGAGAGCTGGAGTCGGATCCCAGTGCCTCGCCTACTAGCACTGTGACTTTGGAAAAGTTGCTTTACCTCTCTGAACCCCAGTTTCTTCATCTGTAAAAACAACTATTTCACAGAGTTCTTGAAAGGGGATTGAGGAAGAGAACGTACATCACAGAGTTTGTCACCTCTGTGAAGTGCTCTGTCCCTACACAGAGTTGTTACCTTAAGGTCCCTTTCTGCGCTCTATTTTATAATTCTGAGTCACTATGCTTGACAATAAAGATGTTTGAATAAAAATCAAGTTGCTAAATGTATTAACTGGCGTTCCCTAGCCTGTAGGAAGACAAATACTCCCATCTGCTCGCCAATAACCTAAGTCTGAATTTCGTGACTATGCAGATTATACTGGTCACATTTTCTGCCTTAACCTAAAAGGATGCCCTGATGATGAATTCCCTTAAACCAGAAGCTCCCTTTCTTCAGATCAATACAGGCAGACCTCAGAGATACTGCAAATTCGGCTCCAGACCACCACAATAAAGTGAGCGGTAATCTTTTTGCTGGTGAAGGGTCTTGCCTTCAATTTGTAAAAAATGCACCGTCGATGACGAAGCATGATTAAATGAGGTGTGCATGTATTCATTTTTCTCTTTAAAGGGCATTTGCCATTTCCAGTTAAATTGATGGCTGCAGCCTGAGCTTTTATTTCTCTTTATTCCTTTCCTAAGAAGTTAAATAAATGGGCAAAGCTAATGGAGGATGGGGCAAAGGGTGGGAGGAGGTGTCTTCCCTTTGGGATTAATAGCTCACATCAGCTTCGGTCTCCTTGGGCTGGGGGAGCCCAGGCTTCTGCACTTGGTCTTTGTGGAAATGCCACCTCCTAGATCATCTAGAGGGAGGAAACCAATAACATCTTATCTCCTGGGTTCAGGCTTTGAACAGGACTGCTGAATCGGGCGGGATGAGATGCAGGAGGGCTCTGGGGCCCCAGGGATGCTGCAGGTGGCTGGGGGAGCCATTTAAGTGGGGTCTGCAAGAGGAGGGGCCTCCTAACCTAATTAGCGCAGCTGAGAAGGCTCAGAGCCAGGCAACAGGCAGTGGGGAGCAATGTCATAGGTTCACCAAGCAGCCAGACTTCTCACAGGCTGTAATTTACTCTGAGAATGGCGGGGGGGGTGGGGCCGTGCAGAAGTGACCTTTAATTCTCTTGAACTAGAAAGCTGGGATCTGTGGTCTGATTGTCTGAGACCTTAGAATGACCTTGTAATGGTCATTAGGGCCAAGGCAGCAGCAGTCCATGGTCACTGCCACCCAGTGTTGCACTTCACAGATCTGCCATTCGTAAGTCCAATCTATGGCCACTCGGAATCCAAAGTTTCCCTCAACGTCACTGTTCCCCACAGCGAAGTCCATAGTCAGTGCCATGTGCAGTCCGCTCCATGGCCAGCCCTTCACTCGTCTATGCTTATCCTTGGGCACGCTGCTTAGAATTTCTGGGCTTTTATTCCCAGTACCCTGCATATGCAGCTCTGCTTGTCTGCCCAACATCTTCCCTAGACGGCATGAGCTCGGAATCCGGGATTTGCTGGGGATTCAAACGCACCCAAAGTTGTGAAACTGGCTGTGTGCACAGAGCAGCCAGCTTCTCTGCCAGGACTCAGACGTGGAAAGTCTGACCGTGCGGTGGACCTCCCCAGACTTCGAGCTCCCTGCCCTCGCCAGCCAGCCAGTGCCTCTGCCTAATGGGGGTTTCACAGCCCACATCTCAGTGTTAATTTTAAACATATATGGAGCAGATTGGATGAGCGTCACGGAAAATTTACCGAGAGCCAGCCACTGATTGCTTTATGTGGCACTTGAGGGTCGGGTGTCTATCAAGAGGGGTTCCAAAGGCATTTCTTTAACTCCATAAATTAATTTAATGGGCAACATGGTTATGCGGTTAATATTTAATGGTTCCATGGCCTCAACAAGTTGAAAACTTTTATCTCACTAACAAGCGTGAGCAATACTTTAGGGGCTCAGACTAACAATTTTATAAGTGACTCCATTTACCCTGTTCCTGCCTGTGAAATACATGTTGGCAGTATTTGTCTAGGGGATAATATAAATATCCTGGGGAGGGGAGGAGTGGGGGTGAGAGTGTTTGAGAATGATCAACTCCCCCTTTGCCATATTAATGACGTTTATACAGGTCTCTAATTCCTGGTGGGTGCGACTAGAATTTTTTTGCTGCCCCCAAAACTGAGCTTGTTTCTACTATTCTGCTGCAGCCGATAGACGTGCTTTCAGGATCAACGGTTTTCTTTGTGGGAGGGATATGAGGGGTTGGCTGTAGTTAGCCTGGAGAGGGGACTCCAAGCCCAACAAGGCGGTCGGCCTGGAAGGGGTAAGGATCCCCCCACACGACCCCCTGGCTCTCATGGGCTCATTCATTTATATCCCCACTTCCCAGATTCGAATGCTGAGCTTATTACTTGTGGTGGTTCTGAGTCCCAGGTTTGCTCCCTCCCACCGTGGGAATTGTCCCCCGTGGCCCATCATTTCTCATTAATAAAGAGAAAGGTTCACGTTGCAACCGAAACAGCCTCCCTCAGGAAGCAACAAGGCTCCCTGCATGCTCAGCCCTGGACAGCAGAGGCACCGTGTCCTTGTGGCCCTCGTTCTGAGGGCGGGCCTGGTCAGGACCGACGCTGATGGGGGAGACTGAGGCAGAGAGCCAAGACTGATGTGCCCATGCCTACCCAGTGGTCTGCTCCTCTGGGGGAATCCAGCTGGTAGCATCTCTCCATCTGCTCTGGTCCAAACAGACCCAGGGAAAGGCGTTTCCAGCCTGAGAGAAGCTGATTGTGTCCCTTTCTCCTCAAGACCCTCAGAGGAGCCCCATTGCTCATAAGACCCTTAGGTGGCTCAGCCGGGCCATCTTTGGGTGCTTCCAAGTGCTGCTTGGGCCTCAACTCTCACCCCTCTCATCCACGCCCTGTGGTCCAGTCTACTGGAAGTGTAGCCATTCCCGACCAGCCAGACTCCCTTAGGCTTCTGCCGCTTGGCCTATGGTAGCCCCTTGCCTGGGGACCATACAGCTCCCCCAGTGCTCCTCCCAGAAGCCTCCAGGACTCCCTGGGAAAAGCTGACCACCCCTGCTCTTCCACTCCAGAGAAAGCCCTGTGTGTGCCTCCATGTTACATATTTATCCTCCGCAGGAGGGTAATTTCTGTGTGTCCGTCTTCTCCAGACCAGGAGCTCCTCCTGGAAGGCCACCTCTGTTATCTCTGTGTCTTCACTAACCAGCAAAAAGCCTGGCCCCACATGGGTGTCCAGCCAGTATCTGATGATAAGATCCAAAGATCACGCATAAACAGGAAACCTCTGAGGAGAGTGACATGTCCTCAAGGCCCTACTGTGCTAGGATCCCTTGTGAAATGGCTTAAACGGCAACTGCAAGATAGACACTTTTTTTCCATTTCAAAAGGATTTGCTGCCTACATCCTTCAAAACTCTTGTGTTGGAAATACTCTGATTTACAGAAGTTCGGTGAGCCCCAGCTTCCTAGAAGGTGATCAGGGAGGATAGAGGCAGCCCCAGGGGTGAGGATGGGAGCCAATAGCGGGACGCCGAATGGGCGGGACTCCAGCCCCGCACCCCACCCCCACCCCACCTAGAGTCGCTGGGCTTTTACCTATGAGATTTCCATTGATTAGAAACCAAAATGATGCTGCTAAAAAGAGGAAAATGTTTGATCCTGAGTAAAGAGCAGGGCGCCTATGGTTGTTTTGTCAAATGCAGAGCTTTGCTTTTTGTCTTGGGATAGGCATTACCCAGAGCAGTGGGCTTTGTGGGGAAGGGGGAGGTCATTTCAAAGCAGAGGGCCTGGGCACAGCCTATCTGGGTCCCCCCTCCCATGCCACTTGCACTTGCAAAGACCAGGCTCCGGTTTGCTATAGCTGGGTGGAAGCCTCAGAGACACACAGTGCGGCCACCCTCT